ACTGGAAGAGAGTGAGTGAGTGGGGGTGCGGAGAAATTGGAGATGTGTATCAATGAAGCCGGGGCCTGGCACTGGCCCAAGCCTTCCACTCTGCCTGAGCCTGCCAGAGCCGGGTTCTCTGCTCCCAATCCGGGAATTACTCTTGGACCTGACAGGAGCTACAAGGAAGCCCTGCTACAGGATCAGCCTGTACCAGGATCCTACATGGCACCATGGTGTAAAGTAACTCAGTAGATTTAACAAAGTAGTGTACAATATTAAGTGACTTGACTTGAATATTTAGATTTTCTTTGTACTTTTACCCCACTGCAATTCAGCGGGAAATCGTGTAATCGTCTTTTACTCCATCACATTAATTTAGTACCTTTAGTTACTTTGCAGATTGGGATTAATGATATGAAGTATAATCAACAACCGAACCTGGGGGGACGTTTTATTTTCTTTGAGCACCTGATAAAGCACTTGATAAATAAAATGTATTATTATTATTTGTATTATTTACTCAGACTTTAGTTCCACCTGGAGTAAATTCACAAGCTACCCTGCAATATACAAAGTCATTCAAACTAGCTGCACCTTTACCAGCTTTGATAACACTTTAATGATCAATAATAATAAAACATATCATATATATTATTCTGAAATGGACCAATCTGCACAATGACTACTTTTACTTTTGGTACTTTAAGTACATTTTGATGCTGATACTTTTGTACTTTTACTTGAGTAACATTTTTAATGCAGGAGTTTTACTTGTAACAGAGTATTCATACACTCTACTTTTTCACTCTACTTTTACTTCAGTACAAGATCTGAGTACTTTATCCACCTCTGCATGTCAGGGCTGCTTGTGTATCATTAACCAGTACCACCATCTGTGTTGTTGCTTAGGTAGTGTTTCACGACTTGTAGGGAAGCCAAACTAAAACTGAAAAGAGCTGTCATGGGGTTCAAAGGGAAATTAAATTACATTTATACTGGTCCCACCCAGAGAATCTTCAAAAAAACGTTTGAATGAAAAACACAGAGCATCACAACCCGTGAGAAGAGCTGTGAACGGTGCAGGGAGCAACACCATGCACGGAAAGTAATCTTCTCCTGCTAGTTTAAGTAAACTGAGATAGATGTGTTAAGAGAAGCATTTGGGAAACAGGAAATTAAGTCACTTCCCCTAAAGCTCCTCCACATTTTGACTGCACTACCAACAACTCTTTATCCTCACTTCTACTTTCCATTTGACGCATCTTCTCCCTATCACTTAAATGCTTATCTGATCCAAATACAAGACTTTGGAGGAGACAAAGCGTACAACTTCTTCTCCACGCCCGGCTTAGAAAGGGCCTTGCTCTTCCCAATGGGGGTATAGATAGCACCCAAGCCTGTGCGTACATGGGTGTGGGGGGGGGATTTGTGTGTTGAATCAGGGCCTATCCACAGGTAAGCCGGGGACAGCTGTTGTGACAGGTTGGGAGACAGCTCTGTAATTACCAGTGGGAGGCACCAGATTCCAGCAACAGGCTAAATACCTGCCTCCTTCATACGTTCAGCTCCACCCTCCAATGGCCCACTTGTCAATGTTCCCCCCACCTCACACTGTTTACGCACCCCAGTTGCTGCTTCTCATTGTAGCATGGAAGCAGCATATTAATCTGCTGTTGAATATTATACATTTCTCAGTGAGCAGTGAACCCATTTAACTCTGGAACACCACAAATAGGCATGTTTCCAAATAAGGGGGAAAAATGGTCTCTCTGTTAACAAGCTAAATTTAAATTGGACTCATACCACGTCTAATGGGAGAGGTGAATATGTGTGGGCTTTAAGGGAAGGATGTGCTAATTTACTGAAGGAATCTAGCCTAATTCACCACTTAATTACCATAATGGCGCACACAAATATGCATCTCCCTAGGCTGTGTTGGGGTATCAGGAAAGTTTGACTCGCCCAATAAATAGAACCACAAATTGAAGTGACGAATAGGCTATGCTGATGGATGATGTGTAAAAACTTGTTGTCCACACGCTCTGCTCACAATCTTTTACTTCTCAATGCAGAGAAGAAGCACCCACACCCTGTTGTGTGATGTACTTTTAAATAATTGCAAAACACTTTTTGCTAGGCCTGCACACGTACACTCCTACACTTGAATTTCCCAGAGTATGTTTTCAGAAGCCGTCCTGAGGGTTATTGGAGCGTTATTGGGAGTATCTGAGTTCCCAGTTGTGACATTTTATCTGGAACGCCCCCTGAGGTCAGACTTCCTACTTGGAAACTTCGAGATACCTCACCATCAGGGTTGGCAGGGTTACTTTAAAAATGCTCATCTTCTATCTGCAGAAATGTTGCTACAATGTTTGTATGGTACCTGGGCCATTTGGAAATTAAAGGGGACCTATCATGCAAAATGCACTTGTATACGTCTTTTATACATGAATATGTGTCCCCAGTGTTCCAGGGAACTCACCAAGTGTCAGAAAACACAACCCTCTCTCTTTTCCTCCATACCCAAATCTCTAAAAACGGGGCTGCAACGGAGCTGATTATTATTTGAATTTTTCTGACGTCAGAAAAGGGGTGCTCCGCCTATATGGGCAACTCTCCACCTATCAGGGGAATGAGAGACCGCTCGAAAGCGCTGGAGACGATGTAGTACATATGCCAGGCCTGTAAGTGGCGCTGTAGTCTGCCACAAAAGCAGAATCAGCCCTTGCAAAAACAGGGCTGGAAAAGAGCAAATAGAGCGAAATGAGGCATGGCTAAAATGCATGATCTGTTTGGTATTTTGAAATAAAAACTTCACAGACATGTTCTATATAGGTATGGCCCTACAATATATGTTTCAAATATAGCATGATAGGTCCACTTTAAACAAAAGTAGCACTAAGAGTTTAACTTATGCACCGGCACTTACAATGGTCTTGCTTGTCTGAAATTAATATGTCAGCACTTTTCTTGTTGTCCTTCATTTGAATCTTTATGGTTTATTGCACTTATTGTAAGTCGCTTTGGATAAAAGCGTCAGCCAAATGCAATGTAATGTAATGTATTCACAAAATACGAAGTAAAGCGTTATTGTCAACCGGTATTGCTAACAATGGCTGACTCAAGTTTGCTGCTAAAGCTGTAAACAAGGCGAACAACTTTCCTGCAGGCGGCCATATTTTTCCTACTTTTGCCACTGGAGCGCAGTCAACTCGGATGTGATGTTCCGACCTCCGACTTCCAATGTAAATGGAACGCAGCATTAGACAGTGGCTGGGTGTTCTCTGGCATTCCACAGAGGTAGGAAACACATGTTCCCCATGGGCATCGCTTGCACCGGACCTGAGTCACTCAAGATCTCAGTGGCCATCAGCCTGCTTTCCTTCCTGCCAAGCAGACCCGTCAAAAACATGCTGCAAACACACTGATAATAAGCTCAGGAAACCCAGCAGGGGTGGACGGGTAATTATTGGCAGAGAGATATGGGAGTGAAATGGGAAATGGTCAGGGAAGGAGAAAGAGATATGATGGAGAACAAGTGACAGGATAAGCAAAGGAGAACCTGATGCTCAAGTTACAGGAAACCCCCAATCCCTGAGGGAAGGAGAGGGAAAAGAAAACGAAACAGACAGGGTGAGGGTGAAGGAGTGCATTTCATGTCGTCCCTCATCCCATTTCCCCCCCCCCTGTTATTTTAGTTTTCATCTAAGCAGAACAAAATCATGCCCCTTGGTTTTGAGCGTGTCTTTCTTCTCCCTTCAGGACTGCACACTCCTGAGCAGCGTCCATCCACTTTCTTTTGAAGTGGTGGATAAAAGAGGGATAGTGTGGATGCCTGCCTGATGGGGTGAGAAGTATAGGCATGTAGAGAACAATAGACCAAAGAAACCAAACCGAGAAAGAAAAAAAATGTCTGTTTATCATAATAGTTTGGGAGCCGTTGCACAATTACAGCCAGAAAACCCTTTAGCTGAACAAACAGCACAGGCATGCCAGCCAAACAAACAGCACTAATAAAGCAGTAAAAATGCCATAGATACAACGAAAGCAACACGGAGAATGGGACCAGATGAAACACACCATCCTGCTAACGTGTAACGCCTGTGATCTCTGAACTCCTCAAGCTGCCTGAAGACGTTGGGTAGAGATCAGAAGGGGTACACGTGTTTAGGGAATTTATGGAGGAGATCGGGCAAATACTGATTGGCCTGGTCTCAGTTTGACTATCCCAGTAAACTGCTAGAAACATGTTGTGCTCATTTTCATACTTATATTTTAAATTTGGGGTGCAACAATAACATCTTTGCATCATTTTATGTTCAAGAAACAGATAATGACTTGTACTTTCTGTGGATCTCCTTAAGGCCCTTTTCAGAAAAGCAAAGTCTGCTTTGAAAGGCTTCCAAAAATTGAATAGGTAATTCTCAAGCTTTCGTGGAGATACATAGATGGGCTAAATAAAGCAACACTGATGTGAATGTGAAAACCAGGAACCAGACATAATTAAATGATCTTTTTAGGTATTTTCTGAAGCAATGCAGCGAGGTATAGTTTCTTGTTATGGTTGGAAGGAGTCAAATCTGATTGGCATGTTAAAGTCCTATGTTTTCTGTGCAAATGTATGCGCACATGCACTGAAAAGGTGTAATGTTCAACAATTGTTCCCTGGCTTTTTTATGCAAAATTGTAGTGGGTCAAAAGAAATTCATTGTTAAATGTTGTTTTTGAACACCCTACACCTTTTCATCTCACCTCCTCACCCCTGCCACTATAGCAACTGTTATTGTAAGATCTGAGGAACAACCATTTTCCAACACGGAAGCAATCATGTTCAGCATCTTTGCTTCCATGTGGGTGTGTCTTCAGCAAAGTGCCTTCAAATGTAGAAGCATAAATGACAGTTTTACGTGACACCCTTAGTAGTTAAACCATCAGCAATCGCCCTTATCCTTGACAACGGGCGTCCACATGTGCACCACCCATGACTGATGTATTGCCATTGTATTGCTGGTACTCACCTGTCATGTTGAACTTGTGCAGCACCTTGGCGAAGTATTCCTCCTCCTCCTGCTCCGTGGAGATGTCAGTCTGGACCTCGCTCTGCTGCTCTGTCAGTATCTCCTTGGTGCTGTTGTAGAGGGACAGCAGGGGGACGGGGATCTCCTCGTCGTCCCCCGTCTGATCCGGCTCAGGCTCTTTGGGCATACGCAATTTGCTAAGGATCTGGCTCCTGATGGCTTCAATGCGCTTTTTCTTCACCATCTCCAGGTCCAGCGTCTTACATGTGGACATGCTGCTTACGTTGCCCACCATGTAGACGACCATGAGCATCAACAACGTCAGCTTCATGGTGAATGTTTGCAACTACTTTTGGGCTCTGGTTCTCGGCGAATCCTCCCTTTCACTGTCTGCCACTGACCAGGGATGCTTAGGGAACAGTGAATCACTCCGTGGAGAGGTGTGAGTGACGCAAGGTGTTTACAGACAGCAGAACAAAAAAGCAGTGTGGAGAGTCCTCAAAGTTCAGGAGTAGTGGTGCCACCGCAGTCGCTGCCTCTGCTGCTGCTGTGAAACCACCTAGCACTTGTGTCTTCTTGGCATGAAAACCAATGTAGAGATTCCCAGTGGGCGGACAGACCTGAGCCAGCCTCTGACTCAGCCACACGGGTAACACAATGACGTTCCAGACGCTGTCAAATGCTAACAGAGCCCAGCCTAACGTGCAAACAGAAGCACACACCAAGATTCAGAAGAGTCACAACACACCCAAATACTCTTGTCTTACTCAAAGAAACTTCCACATGTCAAAACAAAACGTTCTTTAGCCCTTAACATTTGAGTCTAAGATTTTTCAGCTGACTCTGCTTCCTGTCCTTCTTTACCCCCGAGGTCTCTTCACAGATCATTCAGGACTACCCTGTACACGGATGTGAAGTCAATTGAGCCCTTTCTAAATGTGACAAAGAGAAAGAAAATAGCAACAATTCATACTGTTCTTAAAGCTGTGTTTAAAGTTTGACCCCTGGGGCGTTGAGTCAACCCGGACTAATCAAGTATCCTCGGGCCAGAGGAACAAATGTATAATGTAGTATTTAAAAGTTTCACTAACTTATTCTGATGCAGTCAAGCCATTAAGACATGTCCCCACAAAGACACATCTGATACACTCAAACACTCTCCGCTCTGACTACCTCTTTTTAGCATTAAGAGCATGTGATCTGTGTACAGCTGCTAGAAAAATGATTTCCGACTCATGCTTACTTGACACACTATGACCAGTTTTCTGACACTGTCTCTTTATTCTAAAACACAATAATGTTATCCCTGTGTTTCGATCCTGAGATAATAAAAGAAAAACAGCTCAGGCAGGGGATGCTATAAAATAACAGACTGCCACTCCAACTCTCGTAAAACAATAGTTGCTTAAGTTTGACACACCTCTTTACATGTGCACCATCCAGACCCAGCAGCAGCAGCAGCAGCAGGAGTAACAGTCCCTCTTAAAAGTTATGAGAACCGGATTGTAGTCTTGTCCTCTCTTCCCTCTATCCATCCATCTGTATCACCTCCTTGAAGCTCCTTCACACCTTCCCTCTTGCTCTGACACTACTCCCTATTCGCACCTCTATTTAACTCCCCAGTCTCTCTCCCCTTTCTCCCTCTCTCCCGATGCTTGTCAGAGCTTGCTGGTGACAGAGTGATTTGTGGAAGCTCGGCTAACTTCTCTCTTGCACTCCCCTCGCTCTGGCTCTCTCTCCCTCTAACTCTTCTTTTTTTTCTGGTTCCTGTTACTCGTCTCATAGAGCGAGGAGCTCTCCGCCCAGGAAATGAGGGTAACGGCCGCAGTGTAAAACATCTGCTGTTTAACAGAGCTCTGCTGCCTGCCTTCTGTCCACATCAGGAAGCCAGCAGCTGAACACTGCAGAGCCACCAGAGCTCTCACACTATCTGCTTTCTCTGCCACTGGTGACTGACATGTCAAAGGGCTCTGCAGTGGTGTGAAGTAACTAGGTACATTTACTCAACTGCTCATCTTAAGTAAATGTCCGTAGCTTGTTTGTGTCAGAGGTTGCTAAAAAAGTGACAAAATAAGACTGCTAAACGTCATCACGCCGACCATTAGCAGCCTTTAGCTTAGCCATGGTCAGTGGTGTAAAGTTGTTAAGTAAATATACTCAAGTATTGCACTTCCTGTACATCTAGACCCCAGAGGTGAAGAGTGTACTTTTTACTCCACTACATAGGCTTACAGATTTGGATTAATAATATGAAATACTGTATGATCAACACTTAAATTAGACTAGACCTGTAGTAAATACAAAGAAACTGAACCCAAATCTCTCATGTATTATTTATTATCAACCATTCAAATTTAAGTTCAGGAATATTTTACTAACATATTATATGAAATTATGTATGTCCCTGTATGACACTGGTTTGCCGCCAACCACATTTACCTGGTAGCTGTGAAGGTGAACGCCTGCCAGGCCAAAGAACTGGGCTCGGCATGTCTAAAAGTAGAAGGGTGGTTTTGAATGGATGGAGAGCCAACAGGGCTGGGCCGTGTGGTGTACTGACCTACGTCTGAGCGCTTTTTAAAGGTACAATTGTGTATTTTCAAAAGAAAGGCTACATTAAAACAAACCAGTGATGGTTTCAATCATTGTTGTCTCTGTCTGAGGGATGATTCATTAAGGAAGTAAAGATAGTACACTGAAAAAACGGAAACGTTGACTTTAATTAAATGTATTATGCTTTCAAATAACCTAATACAGTTTTGTGAAATCTGTTGACATTATACATTTTTACTAAAGTCAACGTTTCAGTGTATGTTGCCAACAGTTCAGTTGTTATTTAAGGTTGTGCTCAAACTGGGTTTTCCACGGTTGTTTATTGTCTTCCACTCTGTCCGACGGTTACAAAGAAAGAGCTGTTCATCAAACACTGGTAATAAACATGACGTTTAACATGGGGAAACTCGAGCAGAAACCCCCTCAAATACCAGCAATTATAACAACAGGAAATAACGATTGCTCAAACAAAGGTACTATTGACAATTTGCTACAGACTGTGTCAACAAAGACACATCTCTGATTACCATTAATGATAAGAGTGGGAGGAGTGTGGCTCTCTGCTGTCAACAACTGTTGCTTGTGTTGGTGTGTGGGAGCTTTGATGGGTGTGCACCGCCCCCTGGTGGACAAACATAGGTAACATCTCTGCCATCTACCTGAATTACCTCCATTTTTGTTACGATGCACCCATTTTAGTGTGCACTGTAAATATATAAAACCATCACCAGTAGTGAATTGAGGTAGAGAAGGATCTCAACAGAAGTAAACATTTACAGATCACCGTGTATCACTTGCCTGAGTGATACACGGTCATCTTTCTTTGGTTACATTGAAGTCCCATCGATACAGTGTTGGAAGAAATACTCAGATACTTTACTCAAGTAAAAGTATGACTACTATGGTCTTCAAATATTCTACTACAAGTAGAAGTTCTGATTTCAAAATTCTACTTCAGTAAAAGTACAAAAGTATTAGCATCAAACTGTACTTAAAGTAGAAAAAGTAAAATAATATTCAGCTAAATGTACTTCAAGTATCAAAAGTGAAAATACTTGTTATTCAGACTAGATCATTTCACCGTACTTTATTGTGATACATATAAGAGCATTTAAGTATTGTAGTTTTTCAATTGGGACCAAATGTAGATACTGTATAGATTAGTAGTAAATATGTATGTGTTATTTTGTGTACAAAGTTACTGTGAGTGTTCAAATACATTTAGTGGAGTAAAAAGTATGATATTCCCCTCTGAAATGTAGTGAATTATAAGTATAAAGCAGCATTAAATGTTATGTAAAGTCAAAAATAAAGCACAATAATTGAGTAAATGTACTATCCACCACTGCATATAGGAACTGAAGATAATGAGCATTTCCTCTTATAACCACAGCTGCATCCTGTGGTGAAGGTCAGGATGTTTAGGCACTATCAGTAAGGACACTATAGTTCTAACAGTGACAACTGAACTAAATGCATCTCCAGCAACACATGAGTTCTTGTTGTACAAATGAGTCCAAAGGTCCAAAAATCATTTTATGATTTGTTTCACCTTCTCTCTATTCCAACTTACTTCATGGACCTCTGAACACAACCACCTCCCTCCCAGCACGTCCTACCAGTCTGTCATGGGGCATTTCATACCTTCCACCATAGAGCTGTCTGTCTTTTCTGAGCAACATGATCTATTCTTTTCCCTGTGAAGTCCTAAATGCGTCTCTGCCAAGGATCCCAGAGCTGTGTCCAGAGGTGGAAGTAGTACTCAGATCTTGTAATCAGGTAAAAGTAGAGGTATCAGAGTGTAGGAATACTCTGTTACAAGTAAAAGTAGAGTGGAGTGATGCTCAGGAACTTTGGATAACAACTCAAACATTGAGTCAGAGAGGATATATTTACTGATTTATTTCAAGGAATACTGTATAGGTACAGGTTCCAGGTAACAGCATTATAGACGTAAATGGATCAGCGGCTCAAAAGCAAATGGCAAGAAACAACATGCAAGTTAGAGATGTCCTCAGTAAAGTACTTGTGACGCATTGAATGGGTGATGTCAATGTAACTTTAGCATATAGCCGATAATTATATTATTATTGCATAGTATTGCATTTGTGCTGTTGAGTATTTTATTGTAGAGTTTATATATATTGGATGTATAATTCTACATCTTTTATGTTAGTGTAACTCCTAAATAAATTCCAACAGTGCTGGAAAGTATACTTACTCAAGTACCGCACTAAAGTACACATTTTGAGGTACTTGTACTTTACTTGAGAATATTCTTTCTGTGGCACTTTATACTTCTACGCAACTACAGTTCAAAGGAAAATATTGTGCTTTTTTACTTCATTAAATGTATTCAACAGCTTTAGTTTATTACATTTTTACTATGGATAAAGATTATTAAACATTAAAAAATATGATATTTGTATAGATCAGATGATCCATTAAGTGCCTAAAACAATGTTGGGGAAACACAACATTAATTGGAAGCAATTTAGCTAATTGTTTAAGCATTTTTTAATGTAAAACATTTCATAGTTCCAGCTTCTCAATTGTGAAGATGTTATGCGTTTGCCCATTTACATATATCTATCTCTTTTTAATATTTTAGAGGGTTTTTTCTCTGCGATGAGTACTTTTACTCCCAATACTTTTAATACATTTTCCTGATTAAACTTTTATTTGCAACGGAGTATTTTTACAGTGTAGTATCTTAACGTAAGTACTGAAGTGAATACTAACGTTATAAAAATATACTAACTTTAAAGCTAATAATAAAACAATGGAAATGGACCTACTGTGTTAGGTTTGTTCCTAAATAGGAGCGGTTTAATAGCCTACTAGGCCTACCTGATTTTAAATAATAAACTGAATAGACAATAAACCAAAGCATTGTTAGATAATCAGTCATTAATCAAATCAAATCAAGTTTTATTTATATAGCACATTTATAAACGACTTTTGGTCGAGCCAAAGTGCTGTACATAAAATAAAAATAGCCTACAGTAGAGACACTTTACAGCATTAGTAGGTCGTGTGACGGTTAACGCTGCTTCCGGTCACCTGTCGGCCACCTGTCTCCTTGGTTACAACGAATGTGTACCCACGTGAGTGTTTTAACCTAGCCTTCGTTGTGAATCCCGTAACGATGTGTTTGTGCGCAGTTCTCAGGGGTAGGTCAAACTTCCTAATGCTTAGTTATTAATTATCAATGACGAGGCGTCGTGGTAATGTGAAAATAGACTGAAAATGAAGAGTGAGTGCTGAGTGAAAATGATAACAAAGAGGGTTACCATGGTAATGACGACGCACAGGACAGGAGGGTATAGTATTAACAGACAGAGACCTCTGACATCCTTCTTACTGCTATCATAAATCAAACTCAACTTATGACGACATAGCCTACATGTATCTCTGCGGACTGTTGACGGACTGTTTGTTGACGGACTGTTGACGGACTGTTGACGGACTGTTGACAGACTGTTGACGGAAGGACCCTCCGCAGACTGACGGCGGGTGGCGAGTTCACTGCGGACAGGTGAGTGGGACACTGACGGCAGTTTAGGGTCGGCATCATGAGTTGTGTTTGTCTACAACAACACACATCTTCAGGACTGGGGTAATATCAGTGGGCTTAAGTAACTAAGTACATTTACTCAAGTAGGCCTACTGTACTTCAGTAGAATGTTTCTACTTTGTACTTCTACTCCACTACAACTCAGAGGTAAATATTGTAATGTTACTCCACTACATTTAGCCTATGCAGTACCTTTAGTTAGCCTACTTTGCAGATTTAGATTGATGATAAACAGCATGATCTACTCTTAAATCAGCCTTTAGTTCCACCCTGAGTAAATCCACAAGCTACCCTGCAGTCTACAAAGTCATTCGAACTAGCTGCACCTTCACCAGCTTTGAGAACACTTTCATGATCAATCATTATAAAACATATATATTATTCTGAAATGGACCAATCTGCACAATGACTACTTTTACTGTCGCTACTTTAACTATATTTTGATGAGAATACTTTTGTGATTTGACTTAGTAACGTTTTGAATGTAGGACTTTTACTTACAGATTATTCCTACACTCTGGTACTTCTACTTTTACTTCAGTATATGACTACTTCTCCTAACTTCTGTCAATGGGTAGAAAGAACAACCATTAAGTCACACAATTCATTGATAATCGGTGTTTAATTATGGAATTGGCTGAGTCCGAATCTCTCAAGTATTGTTTATGATCAACAATCCAAATCAAAGTTAAGGAATATTTGACTAACAGATTATAAAAAGTTATACCAACCACCAATTCACTTTAATTACTTCAGCTAACCAATAATATGCATTTCTAGAATAAAACCAGACATTCCTTTTTTACTCTTGCTTTTCATTTTCTGGTACTGTATTATTATTTCAGCCCCTCCACATGATGTTAAACGTATACCCTGAGAAATGAAATCATTTGCATTTCTATTCTATGCTTTTTGTTACCATTTGAATCATAATGTTTGATCTTTCACCAACAACGATGGATAATCCAAGAGAGGGCTATTATTTTATATATAGCTAACGTCAACTAACTTTGTTTTCTTGTTTCTTACCTTGGCTGTATATATTCATGTTGAATTAGTTGAATACAAAATAAAAAGTTATTCATTTACTCACTATTCTGAGGTTTAGAGTAGAACACATGGAAAGGTGAGGGTACACTTCACCTTAGAGATTCCTCCTTTAAACTTCTCAAGGTAATTGTACATTAAGGCAGTTATATTGTAAATTCCTAGATGAATTCATTGTTTTCTTATAAATACGTGCTAGTGTGATATAAATCCAAACATTCGATAAAGTCAGTTTAAAAAATAGTTTTTCACTTTGTTGACTGAAGACATTTAGGAGAAATCAAAATAGACCAGTGCTTAAAAGATATGTCTTAGGTGTCTTTGATATTTGAAGGTGAATCTTTTACATCTCAATGAGATGCTGAGCTTGTGATAAATGTTACATTTTTTGACAGGTGACTAGAAAATGGAGAAATATGAAAAGCTGGCCAAAATCGGCGAGGGTTCTTACGGCGTGGTGTTCAAATGCAGACACAGAGACACGGGCCAGATAGTTGCCATCAAGAAGTTTGTGGAATCCGAAGATGATCCTGTCATTAAGAAGATTGCACTGCGAGAAATCCGCATGCTGAAGGTGACAGGAGATTAGTAACACCCAATAGTATCAAGTTGGCTCACATTTAAAACCACACGTTGACACTTGCACGCACACCGGTTCATATGCACTCTTTAGGTTATATGATACTAAGCCACTATTGTAAGGAATGTGTCCGACACAGGTATTAGACACACATAATGTATACTTGTTGTTTCAAAGAGCTATACAGACATTTCAACTTTAAAGGGATGGGAAACAAGCTTTAAGAGACTGAATTAAACAAAGAGTACACATTTGGAGGCAATTCTGATACAACATTTAAAAAATGTGGCCAAACTCAAGATCCTTAATAGGTTGTATGTTGTTCAGTATGATGTTGAGTTCTGACACAGTGTCCTTGTTATTTGTTGGTCCTGCAGCAGCTGAAACACGTGAATCTGGTCAACCTGCTGGAGGTGTTCAGGAGGAAAAGACGGCTCCACTTGGTGTTCGAGTTCTGCGAGCAGACAGTCCTCAACGAGCTGGACAAACACCCTCGAGGGTAAGGGAAACACGTCGGCCATGTCTGTGTGTCTGATCAGTGCGTCGTGGAGGAATCTGAAGAGCTGCATACTTGGAACGCTGAAGATACTCATCCACTTTAATCTTTATAGAAGTGTATCTGTTATCAATTTCGTTCGCACCCCTCTAAGAATTCCCCATGATGTGCAGTGGTGGAAGGTACATCTACTGTACTTCAGTTTTGAGGCATTTGTACTTTAGTCATGTACTTCCCTTTATGTTACTTTCTACTTCACTACATCTTAGATCATTTAGCAATTTCCACAAGTTAAAACAACTCCGATGTATATAAATTGGTTAACATAAGCACTTGACCCGCTACAATGTTAAAGTGCTGCCTACTTCTTAACGCATCAGTGATTATCATCAATTCTCTTGTTCAGTATATAAATGTAACACTAAAAGTTTCAACATTAGAACTTTTACTTTTGATATGCTGATGATACTTCCTTCTACATTACTTTCAGTTTCATTGGAGTATCTATATAGTTTACGTGGGCCTTCTTTTTGAGGGATTATCATGTTTAGTTTAGTCATGTGAAGTCACACAGCAAGACAAATGGTTAGTGGCTGTCGGACCATTCCCTTCTCACAAGGCAGTGCAGCAGAAACTCTAGCTGCTCCTGAAAACAAAGGCGCTGTCGCCGTTAGAGACAGGCCTAAGGTTACCCGGGTGACAAGAGGGTGCGTAAAGCCACACTTCTTGTATTTTATTTGATAATAGACAAGGAAATCATGACTGGTAAATAGGTTTTGTTTGTCTCTGGTCCTCTGCAGGGTTCCAGAGGCTCAGCTGAAGAGCATCGTGTGGCAGACTCTACAGGCGGTCAACTTCTGCCACAAGCACAATGTCAGTATATTTCAACTGCTAATATAATGTTTTTCTTTGGTCATTTTCATGTGTTTATTCTTTGATCTTCCACCGTCGGTGTTTGTCCTTCTTCTTCTTGTCTAAAAGGATATAGCCTATTAAGAGTTTTTAAGGCTGCATTAGAAAAATACTTTAAGCCATATCTACAGTATTTTAAAGTTACATGTTTCTGTAATATATTCCCTCTCCTACTGTGACAACATGTAAAGAGATGGGGGGGCTAAATAAAGTGGTTTAAGAAAGATTTTGTATTTACTCAATTTAAAGTGTGTATCTTTTCCACTATATTTTACAGTGTACATATGGCAGCTGATTATTTTTTTAAGATAAACTTGAACACATATATAACTATCCTTACATCTATATGTGTTTTACAGTTTACTATATTATTTCATACAAAACATTTGATAAAATACAGTGTTTTGCTCTAATATTCAGTTGAACCCTTATTCCAACATTGAATTATAGTTACATGAGCATCATGCAGTATACACAATAATTGTATCACTGTTGCTGCTCATAGCATTGCTTGGAATATATTATACTAATTTCCAGAATCTGGCAAACCATCTTATTTGAATAGCTCAGTTTTTCAACACCTTTTCCTGGAAAATGTGTCAATGAAGCTGTCCATCAGGCAGAAGCTGTCCATCAGGCAGAAGCTGTCCATCAGGCAGAAGCTGTCCATCAGGCAGAAGCTGTCCATGAGGCAGAAGCTGTCCATGAGGCAGAAGCTGTCCATCAGGCAGAAGCTGTCCATCAGGCAGAAGCTGTCCATCAGGCAGAAGCTGTCCATCAGGCAGAAGCTGTCCATCAGGCAGAAGCTGTCCATCAGGCAGAAGCTGTCCATCAGGCAGAAGCTGTCCATCAGGCAGAAGCTGTCCATCAGGCACCTGTAGACAGTGGTTTGGATACTGAGAAGGATTGCATTAAACAAGAAATGTGCACCATCACAAACCACAGAACTACTCCTACTTACATAATAGAGCGGTGCAGTGTTGATATATTTTTGTAGGCCGGACCTGGAATTTAGCATCACACATTTATGATACCAACAACATTTTGTTCAGCAGGACAATCTCCACATATTAACACCATTTAGTTTTTGTTTTGAACGTAATGGCTGCACCTCACCACCACTAAGCTAAAGGCGGAATCATGTCGGCGTTATGACATTTAGTTTTCTCATTTAGCCACTTGTTAGCTATTGTTATGACACATAGATGCTTCGGACATTACAGAGTTGAGTATCTTCTGGCGTGTTTTATGTCGTCAAACAAAACGTGAAAAATATTTTTTCCACGTACCTTATTTCACCATAAAACACGTTTAAAAACCATTGACTTCGTGCATGGGGACAGGAAACGGCAAATGCTAAGTCTTTTAGGGTTTAGGACTCACTGCACCACTCTTTTCTCACTACAGTTAAGAATGATTCCGGAACTCAAACTTTGCCTTCTACTCCCCATCAGGAGTCATTTAAGTCTCAGTGACTGCAATGCGTATTCAGTTTCAATATTTGGTATCTGATCTCTTGCCATTGTTCCTCCATTCCTAATCCCTCAGCCTTAATATCCGCCTCTTCCTATGTCACTAAGAGACTGTGTATCACGTTGCCAAATCCTTGATATTGAGTGTTTATGTTGCAGTGTATCCACCGTGATGTGAAGCCAGAGAACATCCTCCTCACCAAAACCGGAGTCATCAAGCTCTGCGACTTCGGTTTCGCCCGCATTCTGAGTAGGTCATCCAGAAAGCGAGTGCATTTATGTGCATTTAGCGTCTACCTCTAATGACTTATTCAACAAGAAACCGGAATCATCCTCCTGCCGACGGCCTCCTCACTTTCAATGTTTTCAATGAATGCTTTGCATAGGGGGACCGTTCAGGCAGTTAGTGCGTCTCTGTGTAGGGTGTCTCTGTTTACCCTTCGTGCATTAGGTTTCTGGGTTGTGTTACCATACATTAACATGTACTCATTCAACATGCCTTGTAATCCCCTCCTCAACAATGTACCCTATTTAGTATTCATTATTCTAAGTGTATGTGTGTACATACAAGTTATCTCTATCCGCCTACTCAGCAGGACCAGAGGACGAGTACACAGACTACGTGGCGACTCGCTGGTACCGGGCCCCTGAGCTGCTGGTCGGGGACACTCAGTACGGGCCCCCTGTGGACATGTGGGCCCTCGGCTGTGTTTTCGCTGAGCTCCTCAATGGGAATCCACTCTGGCCCGGGAAGTCTGATGTTGACCAGCTCTACCTTATCCGAAAAACTCTAGGTATACTGAGTGGCCACGTAAATGGGTTCTTAGCAGGAATAATCTGCTTTTGGGTGCCAAACTCAACATGTGTTTATTCAGACATTCATTAATTGACAGTTAATACGATTAGTAAATGGATTTAAGGGTAGTTCAGTTCTTAAGTTGATGAAGAAATCCGAGATAATTCAACAGTTAATGATGGATTTGTCTTGCTTTTACACCACAAACAAAGATATCTACCTTTTAGAGCAGTCTTGGTCAAGTTGATTGATCATTAATACAATAGCTTTCACACCAGTATAAGCTTAGTCAAACAGGCAAATACATCAAAGGTTGTGTGAACTAAAATGAACTATAATGTAAGAAGAGCAATGTCTCTTTCCAGAAGGATAACCCTCAGACCTTGGTGTGAGATACCTGCCAACTGTCTCACTGCACATAAGGAGAGAGACAGGTTGACATGTTTAGTTTGGTCGAAAGAAAATGCTTCCTACATGAAACTGCTCACAACAGGTCTGTGGACTATATTTAGTATTTGGGTCAAAGTGTGTTTTTTGGGCGATGTAAGCACCGCGTATAGTTACAGTACATATAGTTTCATTATATCGGAGAGAAGTCACACATTTAAGGCCAATAGAGTGGTGCAGTAATTAGTCCTGAAACCAGGAAAAGACAGCATTTAAACTCTTCCGGTTCCCTCATCTCAAAGTCAACAGTTTATTGAACGTGTTTGTGGTTAGAAGCCTGAAATAAGGTCTGTGGTTAACACGAGCTGAAGAGATTTGTACGTTTTGTTTAACGACATAAAATAAGGCAGTAAAATACCCCACTTGTGAATGTCCAAAGATTTGACGTGTCTTTAAAACGGCGGTTGCTAACAAGGGACTAAATGAATTTACTAAACGTCATCACCCCGACATAAGTCCCCCTTTAGCTTAGCGGTGGTGATTCGCAGCCATGCAACTGTGATGTAGTTTGTTTATTGCCTAATGTTAGCTTTTTATATATGCCAATCGCATTGACGCTTCAAAAATCCCAAAGGGGTGTTAATATGTGAGGATTATTCTGCTGAACAGAACGTGTTAAGTATCATAAACCTGTGTTGGCCACAAAGCTTATTTTCTGCAATAAACCAAAATGCAATGGGGAATACCCTTTGCTTTTTGTCAAGGGAGCCCGTTGCGATGCTCACTTCCGAGTCTGGTTCACATAAATACGTCATCACTGCACCACACTATATTTCCAACACTCTGCAGCACACAGCAAAACAATCTACATTGATACATAAGTCTACAGGTAAGTGGAACAGTATGTATTTTTGATTTGGGGTTGAACTGTTCCTTAAGAAAACCTCACAAGGAAACTTGGCTTTTCTTCAGTGGACTTTGCTCTACGTGGTTTGTTTAACCGGCATAGATCTTGGTTAAACATTTTTGAAAAGTCTCTTCAGCTTAGTTAACCATTTACTCCCAGAAATGGACACACTGAATAAAATAAATGGTACTGATTGATGATTTTGTTGATCTCCTTTCTGACCTCAGGTGACCTGATCCCCCGGCACCAGCAGGTCTTCCGCTCCAATGTTTTCTTCAGCGGAGTCAGTATTCCTGAACCTGACACGACGGTACGAATCCTGTTACCATTGAGAATGCACATGTTATTATTGGGGAGGCCAAGGGTTCTTGTCATCATTTTCCATTTATTTCTGCTATTAGGAGCCTTTGGAAAAGCGCTTCCATGGCATGTCTCTTTATGCCCTCCAAGTTATGAAGGTATATATTCTTTATTATATACATCGTTTTCTTTTTTAACCAGATTTCACCTTTCATATTGTACTCAAACTCTACTTCATAGCATTTCCATTTATTTTGTATACTGTTTATATATTTTGTTTCAGTTTAAAGATGATTTATTAAAGTGTATCCTAACTTATTCTGTATTTTTTATATTGTGATCAATAGATTCTCTATATATACTGTTGATATGCAGGTTTGTGTTTATTTCTTTGTTTATTATATTTTTAACTCACGTGCAAACAATATCAAATATCAAAACAATATCAAACAATATATCGTAACAAACAATTTTAAATTTTCGGATCAATAAAGATAAATCAAGAAATGGTGCTACAGAAAATTAAGGCTATTATGTGTGAGCTCATTTTAACAAGTGTTGCCATTACATACTGTAGTTTGTCCAATTCTTTGAAATAACTAATATTTTGAAAACCAACCCTCTATGTTCACTCTGTGTGAGCAGTCCTGCCTGGTGATGGACCCGTCACTCCGTCTGTCCTGTGAGGAGCTGCTGGAGCTGCCTTACTTCCTGGAAGATGGAGTGAACTGGGGCCGTGAGGGGGAGCGCCTGGGGAGACGACATGACAAAGGCTCCCGACGTAGACAGCCTGGGGTAAGTGTGGGGAAATCCTCTCATGACCCCAAATTGACAGACTGTGCATGCTGCTTCAGCCACACATATTACTGTACCTATACAAGCTCAATGAACATACTGCTATAGGTTAGTTTATATATTCTTAGTATGTTCCTAACAATAATAATATCATACTCATCTTTGTCCGACACAAAGGCTGCTTTCATGAAATGACTTCAACCAAGGGCAAAAAAGAAAGTCAGATCTTGTACTTGAGTAAACAGTATAGAAATACTGTTGAAGTTTGAGTCCTGCATAAAGAATGACTTAACAAAACATTTATCGGCATCCAAATATACCTAAGGTACAAAAAAGTTCTCATTATACAAATTGGCCACTTTCAGAATAATATACGTTATATTTTTGGATCCTAATTATTGATACATTACATTGCATTTAGCTGACGCTTTTATCCAACGCGACTTACAATAAGTGCATTCGACCAAGAAGATACAAACTTGAAGAAAACAGAATCATATAAGTACATCAGGCTTCATAGAGCCAAACATTTCAAGTGCTACTAAACAGGCTTTAGATAAGCCAGTCCTTTATTAGTATATAAGTGCTTTGTTAGTAATTCTATCGCTCGAAGTGGAGTCGAAAGAGATGAGTTTTCAGTCTGCGCCGGAAGATGTGTAGGCTTTCTGCTGTCCTGATTTCAATGGGGAGCTCATTCCACCATTTTGGAGACAGGATAGCAAATTGACAGTTGTAGTTAATTGACAAGGGTCGGACTCGGACCCTCTCCAAGTAACCCTATAGGTGCGGTCTTTGAGGTATGAGGTGAGGAGGGAAGTGCAGAGCCTGAAACTCCAAGTTCTTGGAGAGTACGAAGGAGGATCTGATGGTTCACCGTGTCGAATGCAGCAGACAGGTCCAACAGGATGATGACAGAGGAGAGGGAGGCTGCTTTAACAGTGTGCAATTCCTCAGTGACAGCAATGAGAGCAGTTTCTGTGGAGTGACCTGCCTTGAAACCAGACTGGTGCGGATCCAGAAGGTTGTTCTGATGGAGATAACAGGAGAGTTGTTTAAAGACAGCGCGTTCAAGTGTTTTAGACAGGAACGGGAGGAGAGAGACAGGCCTGTAGTTTATAACATCAGACGGGTTGAGAGTGGGTTTCTTTAGGAGAGGGTTTACTCTTGCCTCCTTGAGACTGTTTGGAAAGTGACCAGAAGTTAGAGAAGTGTTGATGAAATGGGTGAGAAACGGTAGAATATCAGGAGCGATAGTCTGAAGGAGGTTTGAAGGGATAGGGGTCCAGAGGACAGGTGGTAGGGCGGGCAGAGGTAATGAGGGTAAGAACCTCACTTGGAGAGAGAGAGGGAAAGGAGGTCAGTGTGTGGGTGAAAGGAGGGTCTGGTGACCCAGCGGTGAGTAAAGGTGAGTCAGAAAAAGAAGAGCGAATATCATCAACCTTTTTTTCAAAGTGGTTAACAAAGTCGCTCGACAGAAGGGAGGAGGGGGAAGGGGCTTTGGGGGGGTCCAGGAGGGAGGAGAAGATGGAAAATAGTTTTTTGGGATTGGAATAGGAAGATTGGATCTTATCTTGAAAGAAAGTGCTTTTTGCCTGAGAGATCGAAGCCGAGAAAGAGGAGAGGAGAGCCTGATAGGTTAGGAGGGTCGTCATGGTGTTTGGATTTCCACCGTTTCCGCTCTGCTGCCCTGAGGATGGTTCTATTAGCACGCAGTGCGTCATTTAGCCAGGGAGCAGGAGGGGACTGACGAGCCTGCCGAGATGTGAGAGGACAGAGAGAGTCCAGAGAGGATGAGAGAGTAGAGAGGAGAGTTTCTGCAGCAGAGTTTGGAGGCAGGAGTTGGAACGAGTCAGAGGAAGGGAGGGCTGAGAGAACCGATGAGGCAAAGGTAGAGGGGGAGAGGGAACGAAGGTTACGGCGGATAGGTGCAGGATGAGATTAGTTTGTTATGTTTGGAAAGGGGTAGAGAGAACGAAAGGAAGAAGTGATCCGAGCAGGGCTCGAGCTTAAGGACGTCCCGTCGTCGAAAAAAATAGGGTCGGGGAGGATACAAAATAATTTTGGGATGAATTTGGGACCAGAGTTAAAATAAAAATACCCTGCTAACTCTACTACGAACGGCGATGAAAATGAAACTGATTGCACGTTTTGTGTAGCACAGTTATTAAACCTCCTTGTCAACATAAACACACAAGCACAAAACATTTAGCAACCCGCAAAATACACAAAATGTGTGGGTCTAGCTATGTACTGAGTGTGTGTATTTCGTAGGTTGAGTGATGTACAATGACAATGGCATCCCGTGGAGGAATTCTGCAATTTTTTACCTTTACATCACGAAAACGCACAGCAGAACCAGACCCTGGAGCGCCGGCCTCTATTTACTTACTCCTCTTCATCCCCTATGGGTAATAAGGCTAAGATGAGAACTCTCCATCGTATTTAGTCCTTAGCAATATGCTGCGCCTCTCCCCGTGTAGGGATGGGTACCGAGCCCCAGTATTAACTGGGCCCGGGCCGGAATGATTAAAGACAGTGGTACCGTTAAGCTCCGACGTTATCTGACTTTTTATCTGTACTGGAGAGATTTAAAAAATATATTTCCTGTCTTATTGCTACATAAACATTATATTGCAGTTTTAGTTTCGTCAACTCTAATATGCAATAAGACTACAAAATGCGTCTATGATGTATTTTCTATCTTTCCAATCTGTTAGAACAGGGTACAAAAATGCTGGACTCAAATGCGACGACTCATATTTTAATGAGAAAAAAAACTCTTGCGAGGACAAAACAAAACTTCTTGATTTAAAAAAAAAAAAAACTCTCCTCTCTGGTTTAACGCTGGGTCTGTGGACATAGAAGCACGCTGAAACAAGACGAACTGGCACAAGACAAAGGGAGACAGGAGCCTCATCCCAATACCCCTCCTCGACCCCTCCTTTCCCTCACTCGCGTCCCTTCCTTGCATCTTAGTAAGATGCGAGCGAGGGATACGAGGAGGTGACGCGAGGACAGAGGAGTCCTCAGGTATTAATTGGGATGTCCTCGTTCACTCAAACGTCACTCTTAAACAACGTCTGTTAATGATGACATGTGCACAGCTGTATCCCCTCTCATCGGGGCTTAACTGATAACCCCTTAGAACCGGCCCATTTCTGGTTAAATATTTAGTTAAATAAATGAATCTTTCTCTTGTTAGTCAAGGAATTCATTGATGGTTGGTCCTCTGCTTTTGTGTTCCGTTTGGTGTAAAATGTAGCCTACATTTAAATAAAAATATAATTATAGTAATGTGAAAGCCTTTAGAAATGAATTGCACGTAATAATTCCCACGGAGCTGTGAGCACTTATACATTTATGTGACGCTTTTCCACTCATCTCAAGTTGTCGGTTTTCCTCTGTTGAAATTGACCAGCTTGTGAAGGTGGGGGGCGGGGCTTTTATACGCGAGTAGTGAAAACACTTCCGCAGTATGCTCGCGTGTATCCTCCCTTTCGTCTCCTCCCGCACCCCTCCTCCCTCACCCCTCCTCTGTGTGTATTTCAGCTATTGGGATGTCCTTCAAAATGGCGTGTCTTAATCGATTTCCGGGTCAAGTCCCGGAGGAGGGGAAGAGAGGAGTCGAGGAGGGGTATTGGGATGAGGCTAAGGACTATTTAAACATGAGGGAATTGGGAACAGGTGGAAACAATCAGGGGCGGGGCAGATGCTGACGATGGCGGAAAAACACCCAAAGTGAGGAAGTAACAGGACCTGAAGAGAAAGACAAGAGGCAAGTACAAAATAAAACAGGAAATGGGAAAACGAGACATGACATGAAACATGGGGACTTGACTAGAGATGACATACATAAAATAGACAGACAAGACGTGACGTAACAAGAAAACCTGACTCTACATAGAAACCTGACTAGACTTGGAATTACATACCTAACTAAACATGAAATGACAGACATAAAACAAACACAACTAACACAATTGTCGAGACACCACAGTACTCCCCCCTCTAGGGACTGCTCCGGAAGTCCCAGACACTCCTGGATGATCCTGATAAAAGTCAGTGATCAAACTCCGATCTACAATGAAGCTTGCAGGGACCCATTGTCTTTCTTCGGGACCATAACCATCGCAATCCACGAGGAATTGTTTCCCTCGACCACGGTTACGGACTCCAAGCAGTTTCTTAACAGTGTAGACAGGACCACCATCAACCATCCGGGGAGGCGGTGGGGGATTAGAGGCAGGCACCAGAGGACTCTCTCTTACAGGCTTGACCTTACCCACATGAAACGTCGGATGGACCTTGGGTAGACGTAAGCGCACAGACACTGGGTTAATCACCTTAGACACCTGGAAAGGACCCACGAACCTTGGGGCTAGCTTTCTGGACATGACATGAAGGGGTAAGTCTTTGGTAGTCAGCCAAACGCTTTGTCCAGGCCTATAGGATGGAGCCGGTCTGCGATGCCAATCCACCACCTTCTTCATCTGGCTGGCACTGAGCAGGAGAGCACGACGAACACCTGCCCAGATCCGGCGGCACCGACGGACCATAGCGTGTGCCGACGGGACCATGACCTCACCTTCATTGGCAGGGAACAAGGGTGGCTGGTAACCATAAACACACTGGAAAGGAGTAAGTCTAGTAGCGGCGGTGGGCAGTGTGTTGTGAGCATACTCGACCCACACCAGATGCTTGCTCCACGATGCCTGGTTCTGGGAAACAAGACAACCGCAAACAGGTCTCCAGCTCCTGGTTTATGCGCTCTGATTGGCCATTGAACTGCGGGTGGTATCCCGAAGACAGGCTGACGGTGGCACCAAGGAGATGGCAGAACTCCTTCCAAAAACCTGAGATGAACTGGGGGCCTCGGTCCGATACGATGTCCCTGGGAAAACCATGAGTGCGGAAAACTTCACGTAACATGACCGTCTGCCCATTTCTTTGGCAGAGGGGAGCTTGGGTAATGCAATGAAATTTGCCATCTTACTGAATCT